GTGTGTGTGTGTGTGTGTGTGTGTGTGTGTGGAATGTGTGCCTTAGCCAGAGGCCATGCCCCAGGTCTCTGCCTCCTTCGCGTGGGGTGGGAACCTTCCGCTCAAGGCTCCACAGGAACGCTGGTGCTCTCCCTGGTGTGAAGACCGGAGGAATGGAGAGATGTGCCTGAAAAGGAATGGACCTGAGATCACACTTATCTGCATAGCTGGCTGTGAAGTAAAGCTTGCCCCAGGACACTTTGGAATACAGAAATGTCACAAAATTCTAGGTATCAGCCTCTCTCTCTGTGCCGGGCAGCCTGGGATGTCATTTTGGAGGAAAGACAACACTCTAGGCCATGGTGTCTCTGTGACCCCTGCAATTACTTGTCTGGTCATAAGGCCCCAAAGTCATCTCAAGCCACTGTGACTTTAGCCTTAAAATAAGCATCTTCCTGCTGCCTGTGTCTTCTCCATGCAATCATCCATAGCCTGTCTTCTTGGTGCTTACACTCTACGTTTGGGTGGGGCAAGGGGCCCCCAAGGTCATGTAGCGAATGGTAGAAGGGAAACAGACTGGACCCAGCTGACTTCTTTGGGCACACCAGCAGGGCAATCCACTTGACATTCTGAGACACACACACACACACACACACATACACACACACACACATCCCTACACCTACCCATCTACCTCCCTGGATCAAATAGGACATTACGCATGAGGGTTGGCAGACCGCACAGCATCAGGAGACACCCAACTCCCATTTGGGCCCTGCCCTCTTGGCCAGTACTGAGGCTGGGCCTGGGTCAATACCCTTCATGCTTCAGCACAGACAGGGAGAGACAGGGCCCCGTTCATCTAGGCATCTAACTGGTTCATGCATCTATTAGGTACCTACTACATTCCAACAGAAGCCCAGAAACGAAGGCTTTTTGAGGGCTGACAGGCAGTACTTGAGGTTGCCCAGGCAAGCGTGGACCTGGGCTGCTGCAGGGGGACCACCTGGGCAAGAGCAGGCCACATTACAGGGTCCAGCACGTAGTACCCACACAGACAGGTGTGTGAAGGGGGAGTAGCATATTATTTTCTCATGTGGTCCAGCCTCAATTCCTCTAGACAAAGCAAAAGGGCCGAGGACTGCTCCCTTGCAGACACAGCATGGCGTGGTCTGCCCCTCAAGTCTCCAGAGCTGCTCCTGTGAGCGCTGAGGCCTAATTAAACCCACCACCGACCGGCCCAACAAACACGAGGGACTAGGAGGCCTCCGATTTGTCTTCACAGAGAACTGTGCAGAGATTTATGGGCAATAAAGGAACATCCATCTCAGGGCGGGAAGAGGAGCGGCAGACAGGCAGCCCCCTCTTCACACCAGAGCGCCAGAGTTGCATTAATGATGCCGCCAAGGCTTTGCAGCACTGCTGACAAAGGAGAGCCGTAAACGTGGACAATTAGAGAAGGATGGAGACCTTGCAGGGCAAACTCTGAACACCCAGCTGCCAACCAGGCCACCCTGGGAGGAGCTGGGGACACGGAATTGAGCCAGTGATCTGGGGTCCAGGTTCTGGGGAAGGGCCCGGCCACCATCTGATACAGTTGCCTCATAATTATTCTTGAAAAATGATGGAGGAGAAAGAGAGGGAGGGGAGAGGGGGAGGGGTAAGAGGGCAGACCTTGTGCATCTGGACAAGTTGTGGGCTTCTGGGTAGCAGTCAGTTGCTGCGAGGCAGAGGGTGTAAGGTTTGGGCAGCAGGTGCACAGGGACCCGCTTAGATGTCCTCCCTGGGGTGGCCTCATCTTGAGGCTCTGGCCAGTCCTCCCCAGGTCCTGTCTCA